AGCCTTCAGTACCGCGGACAAGGACTCCCCTTCAGGCTTCATTCATCTCTGATATCTCGGAGCGCCAGAGCGTTTAAAAACGGCGCCGATCCAACCCGATTTGTTTCCCTATATAAAATAAGCCCCTCCTTCGAACCGAGAGCACCTGATAGTCTTATTTCTACAAGTTGTGTGTGGAGTAGCATCTACAGCTAGGATGCTGCTGACATGGAACAGGATTCTTGACGCTTGTCAACATTTGACCTTTATTTCTCTTGGGAAGCAGGCAGGCAAGAATTAGCACTTCCCATTTTACAGATGAGAAAAGTGAGGCCCAGAGTGCATAAGTCATGCATAGTTGGTACTCACATTTCCATACCTGCTCCCTCACCTTCATCCAATCTCTCATTCAAATAACTAAGTGGGGAAGAGATGATTACAGTAAAGAGGAGAATCAATTAAAGCTATAAGCAAATACTTGACTAATGTGGTGCCAATGAGGGCCCTGGGGCCCATACTACTCTCAAGGATCCTAAGTAGTGGAAAACAGAGTTCAAAGCACAGCTAGACAGCTGGACCTTTGGATTCCATCCAGGAGGTCTGAGCCACAACAAGGGCACACCTGGGGTCTGCTTGAGTGGAAGGGCTCCCCCTTCTGGGGGTCTCAGCATAGTGAATAGGACCTCCCAGGAGTTACTGAGTAGGGTTATTTCTCAAGGCACTACACCCTAGTCCTCTCTCCTATCTCCAAGTCTCAACCTCACTCCCCTCAGGACAAAGAACATGGCATCCCTCCACCTCCCCAGCTTGTTTCAACCACAGGGAGACAGTCTCCCTCCTCCCATTCTCTGTGGAGTTCTCTGTTGGGCAGGCTGCACAATGAAATAGAAACACAAATACGTGAAAATGTACACAAGGTGACACAGTCACCCAAACCCATGGATCTGCCTGTCAAACTCAGGAATATGCACAGACACAGATATACTGGTCTCACATACTTCCCCAGTGTGGCAGAGAGAGGATACTTGGGCTGCAAAGTAGCTTGGGGGGACTCTTATAAGGGGTGGACACATGGCACCTCTCAGGCCTACTGTGTCTATTTCTGTTGTCTGGAGGAGAGGCAAGAGGATGTGCTTTCCTCTGGGTTTGGATGAAGTTCAGGGAGGGTTGTTGAGGGCTGAAGGTGCTTATTTAGGTTGTGAGAATGATCTCTGAGTAGTTTTTTGGGGGAGTGCTGGCACTTGGGCACCAGGCTGGAGGGGATGGGGGGAGAGCAGCCTCCCAGAGAGGCCTGGTTGGGAGCCAGGCTGTGCAGCTGGACACCTGAGTCCCTCCTTGGGTCCACCTGAGCTATTTGTGGAGAATGTGGGGAAGCAGTTGTGTGCACTAAGACCCCCTTCTGCACCAAGAAGCCAGAGGCAGCAAGGTAAGACATGTCATTGACACAGAGCCCTACAGCAGCCACGTGAAGGTACACGATTAGTAACAAACACCAACATAACCTACATGGTTGCATGATTACAAAAACACAGCACAACTCACTTTAACAAGTGCTCGACCCAGGAGGCTCATAGTGAGAAAATCTTACAGAGACATACCACCATAAAATGAAGCCCTGACACCTTCTGGTTGTCATATGCCACTTCACACACTCAAAGCACAGTTGCAGACAGAATAGAGATGCATGGTCAAAACAACTTCATTAGGACAATCAGGGTCCTACACAATCTCAAACGTCAGGCGAGATCATGCAATTGCACAGCCACACATAATCACACTATCCTGATCGTCACCAAGCTCAGGGCACATGGCAACCAGCTGTGGGAGGCACATACACATATACACACAGAGACACACACAAAGAATGACAGAAGCTCACACACGTAACACCTCCCACTCCAGACACCCTCTTAGCCTTGTCACACACACCCACACCTGCTGCCTCTCCCCACCTGCCCACCTGCTTGCCCCCCTCCACCCCTGTGGGGCCCAAGGCTTTGAATCCCAGTGTCCTGCTGCCCGGAATAGCCTGAAGGGTACCTGAGAATGGGGCAGAGTGTGGGTAAGGGCCTAGCCGGGGCAAAGAGACTTAAGGGTCTGGGGGTATGTAATCTACCCTTCCTCCCACGAATCCTGAGCCAACGACTTACCCGTGAGCTGGTCATAGGATCCGTCCAGGTCTCTGGAATCGGACAAACTCTCTTTGCGGCCCTGGCCCCGCATGGCCCCCGGCGCCCCCCTCCCGTCCCACCTGGGCCGTGGGAGGGGGCGCCGGGTGGCCGGGATAGGGCGCTCACACGGCGCCCCCTGGCGGCGTACAGCGCTGCTGGGGCTGGGGACCGAGAGAGTCCAGGCTGGAGCTGGGTCTGGGGACCCAGCCGGGGTCTAGGGCCCACCCCGGCGTCCAGGAGCAGGAGCGGAAGGTTTGGGCAGTAGGTGAGCGCAGAGCTGGAGGCAGAGCGGAGCTGAGCTCGGAGCCGGAGCCAAGCCGCCTCTCTTCGCCCGCCCCCTCCCCGCGGCTGTCACCGCCGCCTCTCCCCTTCGGCGCCTGGATTGGCTCCCCCTACCCCCACCCCCTCCTCTTTGCAGCTCCCGGGAGGCACCCGGTTAAAGGGTGAGCTGGGAAGTGCAGGGAGGGAGGCTGGCTCTCCAGCAACACTAGCCCCAAAACCTGAAGCCTTGGATCTTGCTGGTGGAGAGAGCCGGGCCAGAAAGGCCCCACTGTGAGGAAACCCCACCCCCAGCTCTGGCACTCACTCCTTCCTCCACTGTCAGCACTGGTTGGGGTTCTGTCTCTGAGTTCCCTGTTCCACCAGTCTCCTGTCAGCCCCTATTTTTCCTGTAGTTCTCCTCCCACATACGAGTCTCTGTGGCCCCCACCAGTGCCCACCATGCGTGAAAGGGATTGAGGATGCAGAGGGAAGGTTAACCCAGCCTCTAACACAGGCTCCTTTCAGGCCAGTGTACTACCATTCCATCTTCTCTCAGAAGGACCCCAACCCTCACCCACTCTAGGACCCTGTCTCCTGGCCACAATGACTCTCAGGGTGCCTTCCCCCCACCCCCCAATCTAATGACTCCTGCTGGCCAAATGGGAACAAAAAAAAAGAGTGAACCAGGACAGTTTCCTAAGACTTTCTTGCTCTTTTGTTCCCCTTTTTTTTCTTTCAACTTTCCTGCCTTTCTCTCTTCTGTCATCTGCCCTGTCCTAGAATGCTTTTGTTTTCCAGAAAGCATGGGGAGCGACTGAAGGGTCTGAGGACCCAGATGAAGATACAGAGTAAGGAAGAAAGACCCCCCTCCCTTAGATTTGCTGCTTTTCTGAAGCCAGTGGCTATCATGGAACTGGGCTACCTCCAGCTTCCAGGAATGGCTACTAAATGACTGACCTACTTGTCTGACCTTTCCCACCATGCTTCCAGGGCTCTTAGCCCAAGACCCCCCACCCACCATGAGAAGGGAGAGGACAGTGTCTAGTGGGTCTGGATGGTATGGTAGCAGCATCCCAGGTAATCCTGCCAGCCCAGTGACTTCTCTGGAGGAGTGACCTGCTGAGACTGAAAGCTTCAGCTAAAGTGACCCCAGCAAATTTAATCTCTTCAATTGAATTTAATTTCCAAGCAGCTGATTCAATTAACCCAGCAGAAATTGTGGTGAGAGTTCAAGCTTGAGAAGGGGATAAGCAGCTGGAGGAGTGATGGCCTTTGGGAGCAATGCCCTGCTCCTGGTTCTGGAAGACCCTCCACAGACCTGGTATATACATTGGGGCATAGACAGAACATGGGCAGCTCCTTTTGAGAGTGATTTAGAGGAGAGGAAGTTTGAAGTTCTTAGAATAGACGAATGTAAAAAGGCCAAGAGATGGGCCTTTACAATGGAGGGCAAGGAGTCTTTTGCTTATGCCTCGTCCTAGACCTGCCCTTGTTCACTTCATAGGAGAAGCTGAGAGGAATCCAGAAGCAGCCCAAATGGGCTGGCCAGCCTCCTCAACACCAAGTTTGGAGATAAGGAATTCTTTTCCCTCTTTCCACCCAGAAGGCAAGAAAGGCTACAACTCTCTGAACTGAACTGGTTCTACTGGGGTCAGGAGGCTCAGGAGGAGAGTCTCTAGGATAGGTAGGCAGGGATCCCCTAGCCATCATCTGAGAGATTACCTTAACTCTGGATAACTGAGACTAAGGGGAAAAAAAGACACTAAAAAAACTGTCCCGTACAAATCAATTTTTAATAACTTCAACTTGCCACCAGCTTCCAGCTCCAAATCCTTCAGAGTTTATCACTGGGAAAAACACTAAATGCTACAGGTTGAGATATCCATCTGGTGATCAGAGAACCAGCCTCTGACTGCTTAAGGATCTATATCTATACATGGCAGCATGTTGGTTAATTCTCTGGAGCTACTGCACATCTGCTCAATGCTGGAGCCAGAACTCTGGTTTCCAGGGAGGGCGAGTCTCCCAAAGAGGTTTCAAGCCAAGTGGAACAGCAGCAGTCAGGAAGGCCCCAGACCTGCTCTTACTGCTGGCTTCCTGCACTTACTCCCAGTGTCTTCCTGTGTTGCTTGCCCTCTGCCATCCTGAGGGCTTTAGAAAGTGTTTCAGAAAGGGAGGACCTCAGATAGCAGCTACTTCCAGAGGCAACTGTGGGGTAGGGAAAGCCTACAGCAATCTTATGGAGGCTGTTCAGAGGAGGAACCACAGGCCAACTTCCCAAAGGGAAGGAGACTTGCCTGTGGCTCCACTCAGAATATGGGTAGACAGAATGGCCTCTCCAAGCTGCTCACCTGGACTCTTTTAGATGGAGGGCACTCTGCCCCCAGCAGGTTCTCTTCAGTCCAGGCACCAGACCACAGCGGGAACAGATTCCTCCCCAGAGGAAATTCTCAGGCAGGCTGGATGTAAACAACAGCCGGGTGAGGGGGTGGAACACGTGTAGGGGAGCTCAGCAGAGGCAGGAGAGGCTCCCAAAGGAGGGGGTGGCTAGGGAGGTGGGGAAGCTGCTGCAAAGTAGGCACCTGATGGTTCCAGAAAACCTGTCAATGTTTATTTCACACATACCCTACAGACAATTTAAACCAGATTGAAAATGAAAAGCTATGGTTATGACCCTATAGTGCTGAGAAGTCCAATAGGTTGGAAGGCAGGGGGAAAAAACTAACAGGAATTCCTGGTGCCAGGAATCAAATACAGAAAGTGGTGGCTGGACAGTGAAGCACGGGGCAGATTCTAATCTCCAGTCTCCCAGGGGAGTCAGCTCTGTATTTAGAAAATAGAAAAAAAGGTACCCCATTCCTACCCAACCCTAAGCCTGAGCTAAGGGTCCTAATGACTGGACAGAGGGTCAGCAGGGGCAAAGGACACAGATTTCAAGCCCAGTTCAGTCCCAGGCCCAAAGGAAGCAGAATTAGCTTCACTTACATCTGAGAGTCTTTTCGGAAGCTTAAGAGAGTCATTGGCCCTCAGAGTATCGGCACTACCCTAAGGCTTGCTCCAACAGCTCCTGAAAAGTAGTCAGCAGCCTCAACTTGTAATCTCAATTGGAAATGTGAGAGGGTGTCCAGGGAGCCCCTTGGAAGTATCCACATTTTTGAAGGCTTCTCCCTGTGCCCACCAATCCTTCCCCAAATAAGATTATCCCTGGCTTGCCCCTCCTGGCCCCTGTTGTCCAAACTCCACTGAAGTGCAGCCTTCACTGAGAGAACTCAATGTCCGTGTTTTTTCCTCCAGCCTTGGGGACAGCTCCGTCTCCCCTCACTTCCCCTCCAGCCCAGAAGGCTCATGGGTAAGGGCAGTCAGTGGCGGCTCAGATAGGCGTGGCCTCAGGAGATAGTGGAGAACTCCTTGAGCAGGACTTCCTGGCTGAGTGTGTGGAAGGCCAGGTTCCTCCGGACGTTGGTACTAATGGATCGAACCTGGGAAAGGGTAGGGGGAAAGTAGGAGAGCACAGGCAGAGAGAAAACAGGAGAGAGTCTGTTACAAACAGCGCAGGGCAGTGCCTGAGGCACAAAGCCAACATGCAGGGCTAGCAGTTTCTCTCTTAGGAAATTAACTCTTAACAGCTATCAAGGTTGAAGGCAAATGAGGGAACAGTTCTGTAACAATGAGAAGAAAAGAAGAAGGACTGAGAGATTCAAAAACCCTAATGGATGTGAGAACAGTATCTCAGCACCTAAAGAGGCAGAAGTAAGCACAAACAGGAAAGGAGGGCTGAGGTCGGACCTCTCTATCTTGCTTCGCCATGCAGAAGGGGGACTGGTCTGGTCGGTGGTTTGATGGAGGAGGAGAAAATGAGGCAAGAGGGCTCATCCTCAGGAGCTACCTTTCTTTGGGTGTGTTTCTAGCCTCCTCACTTTGTTTGTATTTATCTGCATTTCTGAGTTTGAAATAATGTTTAGAGATATAGCCCAGGTCTGGTATAGATGGCAGGAGTGTGAATCAAGGAGGCCAATGATCAGGGTCAGGTCGTACGTACAAGCCTTAGACTTGGAAGCAGGACCCAGGTTTCTTAACTCCTGTCCAGCATTCTTTCTATAGCACAAAGATTCCTCCCCACTTTAGATGAAAGTCTGGGGTATATCCTTGCTGTGTCCCCACTGCTCACCTCACATGGTTTCTACCCATAGATCAAGAACCTTTTAGGAAGTGTTGCTTTGTCAGCAGGGGAAAAGATCTGTGGAGAAGGGGCAGAGAGACAAACTCCCTACTCTGAGTGGGTTCTAAGAGGAATCTATCAGACTCTGGAAGAAGACTCATTCATAAGAAATAAATGTGAATGTTGTATGAGAGACAAAGGAGGGTAGGGAGGAGAAAAAGAATGTTTATCTGCCCTGGGCCCTGAAATAGGGGGGCTTTCCTTCAAGGTCTGCTTTGCTATGGGAAACCTAATAGAGGAAAGGGCAGCACAGCACATAGCTGGCAGCTCAAGCTCATTAGCTCCAAATCTAACCAGACCTCTTTGCTCCCCTGTGCCAGAGGTATAGATGCATGGAGAACTGGGTAAGGCAGGGGCTAGTGCCAAAGAGCCTGGAGACAGAGAGCCTGTAACTCTTTCCTCACAACCCTCTTTTAAAAAGCAATAATTTACTTTCTTTGTGAAATCTTGACCCCCGGTAATTCCCCACATCAACTTAAAGACTTGCCAACTACCTCATAAAAATTCTTCATTGCCCACTTACACTGATGGCTTCCCTGTTCCCAACCAGCTCACTGCAGAGCATATCTTCCTCACCTTGGCAAAGTCTAAAATGTTGGTCAGGTCAGAGCTGGGCTGTGTTTAGCACAAGACAGATGATCTAAAATCCAGCACTTTTATCACAGACTTGGTAAGGAGAAGTAAAATTCGGGCTGATTGAGACCAGCAGTGGGAGGTCTAAGGACATGGGAAGTAGGTACAGAGGCCTGCGTGTCCTGGTCGCAGCCAGACATTTGTGTACAACCAGGCAGGCGAAGCGGCAGGACTATAGGGAGGCTGAGCTCTTCCTGAGAGGAGCTCTGAACACAAAACAGGAAAGGGACCATAAACAGGCACAGTCCAGTTCTGCGGAGATGCGGACTGGGAGGTAGAGTAGGAGGCAGAGCAAATGCTCACTGGCTCCATCCAGGTGGCTAAGGGTGGAGGGCTGCAGGAAGCTAAGGAATAGGAAAGTGGGAGCAGGAACAGGGAGTGAAGAATGGAGAACTAGATTGGAAGGACACTCAGATGGGAAGCCAGTTAGGAATTTAGGAGGAAGTGACTACGTAAGAGGAAGGAGAATCGACTACTCTTATTAGTTCCTCTGAGGACAAGATAAGGAGTAATGAGCCAGAGGTGCCACTGGGAACACATGTCAAACCCCAGACCCAGCAGGAGCTATGCAAGGGCTGTCTCTACAGCTGCAGAAGAGAGGTGGGCAAGGCCACCACAGGCTTCTCCCCATTCCCAGCCTGACATCAGTACCCTAGCCTGGTCCCAGCCTGCTTTGGAAGACAAGTGTCGCAGCCAATCCCAGCAGACCCCTCAATTCTTACTTCATCAGCCTTTGGCAAACTGCAGTTTCTCCATAGATACCCACCTGCACAGTAGAACCCAGTGGCTGGGAAGGAGCTCCCAAGAGTCACAGGCAGAGATGGAGAAGGGGCAGACTCACCAGCTCTTTGAAGAAGGCAGCTTCCTTGTGCTGCTCCGAATAACGCTCATACTGGTCCAGACCATCCTGCAGTTTCAGTGTGAGTGTGTCATAGTTGGCTCGCACTACCTCCAGCACCTGGGGAGGTCAAAGGCCAGGCAGGGCTTAGGCCATGCAAATCCTAGCTCAGTAGGGCCCCCATGCCCCTTTTGCTTCCCCTACTGGGTTGAATTCAGTCTGGAGCAACACACACACACGAGACTTTACTCACTGCTTATCACCCCCAAAAAGTCTGGCCATATGGAGCAATTCCCAGATTTCTGGGACCACTTTCTCATTTTTTCCTGACCAGTCCAGCCTGGCCACCAAGGCTGTTTACTCTGGGTATGCTAAAAGAATATGAGCAGAGGTGACAGAACAGAGAGCATCTGAACTCACCAGTATCCTGATACCATAAATCTGTTCTCAGCCACATCCTGCAAGCTTTCTCTGGCTCGGATGTCACAGTTGCTGAGTAAGACTTTGCCAATGTCTCCTTCCTTTTCCCTTTCTGGGAGTCACATTTCTTCAGTCCTGGGATGTTCCTTAAGACCATCTGCCACTTGTTTTCATCCCTTAATGCCAACCCAATCTTCCTATCCATTGCCTGGGTGGAACTTTTGGGCATCCCAGTCTTGGGGTGTAGGAACACTTTCTAGAGTAAGCTAGAGAGATAACCTCCTCTTTTGTTCTGATGAGGGGTCACTCTCCCACCATGCCCCTCTCTCACTTTCTATTGGGGCAGTGGGGGCAGGGGGGGATTCAAACCATCACTGACTCCTGGAACCTTGGATCTCTGTGGTTCCAAAAGGAAGGGGCTACCATAACCAGTCCTGATGTGACTTCAGTTTATAAGACCAGAAATCAAAAGTAAAGACAATTAGGAGAGAAGAACTATACCAAATTAGAAGAAGTGAGCTGGGCAGAAAGGAGAGGCCAGGAGAGGGATGACTGCTCACTTTGGTAATTGGGTAATAGCTATTTCACAACCTGATCTGACCTGGGAAAGAAGTCTATGACATCATGGAGAGCTTAGGAGGAATGAGTGAGTGATGAGGGAGGCTTAGCTCTCACAGAAGGTACGGGTGAAGGAAATAAGCTAGAGTCAAGACTGGCCTGAAGGGAACAAAGATACCTTTGGGCTGTTTGCCTCACCAATTCAGTCTTGTGCCAGGGCAGACTTCACTTGATAGCAAACACTCCGCCTGCCAAAAATTTCTGAGGAGAATAGGGATGGAGAACATAGGGAAGGCTTCTGTTCCTGAGTTTAGGGGGAAGGGACAGCTAGGACAAAGGTCTGGCCCAGGTTCCAGGTTCCTTCCCTCTGGGAACCTTGCTCCCCAAGGTCACTTTGCCTGGCTGTGGCTCACAGACCCTAGTATGGGCTGGTTCCTTTGCTTCTAATTCCATTTGTCAGCTTTGTCAGTAGGAGGACCAGTACCCAGCAATGGCAGTCACCTACAAAGTAATCTGGCTTTCTTGTCCACATGGGCTCTGCTTGTGGCTGGATTATCTAAAACCAAGGTCTTGGTGCAGAAGTGAATGGCTCAAGCCCAGAAAAAGGCAAAATTCCTCCATGATGGAACAAGCCTCCAGGAATAAGGCAGAATAGAATAATACATGCTTTCTCAAATCCTGAACTCTGGGCAGCTCCAGCAATGTCTAGAACCCAGCAACTTGGGCTCAGCTGCCCCTGAAGGGCATCAGGGGCCAAACACCTGCTAAAGCAGATTTCTGAGAAGAGGGAAGAGCATGTCAAGAAATGCTGCATCCTGAGTGCCTCAGGCAAGCCTGCCTTGATTCACCTGGTTTCTCCTCTTCATGCCAGGGCAGAATGGAAGGTCTAAATTCTCACTCACAGCAGGGATTTTATTCTTTCCTAGGAAAGTTGGATTTTGACAGAACAGCTTAGTTCAGTTTCTTGCAGGGAAGTGAAAGCAGAGAAGGTCCCTGAGCTACCAGCTCCTTAGAAGGAAACCAGAGGCCTGTCTTGACTTAGTGCAGGGTTTCAGCTCTCCTTTTATCCAGATCTTACTTCCTTCATCCTTTTTTACCCAGGTAAGTTGTCCTTCAGTTCACCCAGCCTCTGCTGTCTCTTGCCCTAATCACTTTTTCTTAAGTTCCCAAGAGAAAAATTTTCTAAGCTTAGGTCTGGGCTACTGCTCAATTGGGATTTTGAAACACTTAGGGGTACTTTCCTAGTTTGGAACTTTGCTTTCTGTAGCTGCAGACTTTAAGAACATGTCCTGGTTAGGGCTTACATTCAACACTGGCCTGAGACGTGGTAAGGGCAACACAGTAGGCAGTGGGCAGTCTCCTAGAGCCCTTGTACCTAAAGGCCTTAGGTTTTCCAATAATTTGTAATCTCAGTCTCAAATCTGAGGCTTCCTGGAAATTTTAAAGGCCCCTCCTAGGCTGAAATCCCTCCCTAATCCATCAGATGACAGTCTCTGTCCCAAGCTCTTTCATCAAATTTTGGGCTTATGGGCTTCCTAGAACCATGCCCACCACCTCAACTCAGTAAGTCACCTACAGGCTGCATGCTCTCTAAGGAGTTCTTACACCCACTGCCTAGGATACTCAGTAGACAGAAACCTGGGTCCTGGCGAAGAGCCTGACAGAAAGAAAAATGAACTGGGAGTGACACTTGTATGATGGGATCTCAGACAATTGACTTAACCTCTTTGAGTCTCAGCCTTCTCTCTATAAAATGTAACTTGAACTTCACCTTCCTAAAATGACATGGGAATAAAAATTTTGAGTTCCTGAAAGTAACATACAATTGTTGGAAACATTATCCTAGTGGCTGAACAACAGGCAGCTCCTGGGACTCAAGAGCAACTGTCTTCACAGCCCAGGAAGCTCCTATTTCACACATCCCAAAAACCTTATGTGCATAAACGATTCTTCACCACAAAGGAACATCTTCTGGATTTAAGTGGAAGACACAATGGCTTCAGTTTCAAAGATCCTATGCCCTTTCTTTTCTGCTTTGAAATACTTTGCATCAAGTGAGGGAAGAACAAACTAGGGGGGCCAAGCCCTCTACACGGAGGTCAGAGGGAAAGGGCCTGACAGAGGCTTTGAGATCACAAATACCTGAATTTGGTTCCAGACTGACCACTAATTAGCTATGTAAACTTAAATATATTACTTAATCTCTGTGAGTCTCAGTTCTCTTATCTGTAAAATGGGGATAATATTACCTACTCCATAAGGCTGAAGTAAGGATGAAATGAGATGATTGTCTAATGTCTGGCACATTGTAAATGCCAATAAATGGGTACCAATTTTACAATGAAAGTTTCTTTCTGGTGATAACAGGTATTTGGTAGTTCTGCTTATCCCCAGGATAGTTCTAACCATAAGCTAGAAGCTAGCCTTGCACATCTTCACTCAGCCTATGGCAGACTGTGGTGAAGAAGAAACCTAATTTCTCTATTCAATATGAAAGCAGGCTTCCCATAATGACCCCAGGGTCCTAAGTGTAACTGGCAATGCATCAGCCAGAAGTCAGAGAATACCCAGTACCCACTGTCAACCTTGCCCATCTTGGTAGTGCAAGTCCAAGTATACTTGGTAGTATAAAGGTTATATTAAAGAAAATCTGAGCAGAGATGCCCACAGAGGCCAAGTTTGCCGGACAGAGGTTGGGAGGTTCTTGGCCATATCAGGATTAGGAAGGAAAGGGATCCCAGTGCACAAAGTTAGTTCAAATTGCTGATGAGGTTATGGACACAGACACACATTCTTTCCCAAGCCACATAATAGGTATTCCCAAGACTATTCAGTAGTCTGTGCCCCCACCCTTTTTTTTAAGCAGAGCCTTTGAAATGGGAAATATCTTCTAGACTGAAGATAGCAAGAAAGGAGAATTGCCAAGTTGGAAAAGTACCTGGCAATGGTTATCCAATCTTGATGTCAGGGAGCTTTGCCCCGTGCCTGAAAAATTGCTTAGTCTCAAATCTCTGTGGGACCGAATTCCTAACAGAATGAGATTTAGGGGACAACTAATAGGATGTGACCTGATAGCACACTTGTGTTCATTACCTTCTCAGTTTGAACTGACATCTACAGTATAACCTATTTGGGGAGAGTATGGAAGGCTGCCACCAGCCCACTTTCAGTCATGGTAACATATATGGCCTTCCCTAGAGGCCAGGCTGCCAACTAAGGACAAAACCACAAGATACCAACAGATAAACTAATTAAGACTTTTTATAGAATAGGAAATAAACATGGAACCTATCCAGACAGCAGTGGGACATAATGGAAAGAGGATATGGAATCAGAGAAACCTAGGTTCAAATGCTGGCATCATCATTTACTATTTATATGACCTTGACCTGTCTGAGCTTTAGTTTATCTCTAAAATAATAATCATCATATTTTTATATTATGAAGATTAGATACAGCATATAAAATAAACATAAAAATATAAATGATAGGATCTAGCAAATAGAAGGTGCCAAATGAATGCAGGCTACTGAGATGGGAACAGAGAAAAATGGAACTAGAAACTGGTATATTCAAATCAAATTAATCAGGTGGTTAAATGGTGGCTAGGAGAGTCTGGAGTCATTTAATACCTGAGAATAGTGACACAGAAGGCATCCATACCTCTTTTTGCCGAAGTGTTACCATAGAGAAAGAACAACAGAAATAAAAGCTATGGAAGGAACTTTTGAAATCACCTACCTGATCCATGGCCCTAATTTCACAGACAAAGAGAGGATATACTGTACCAAAAAGACTGTAAATTGCCCCAAGACACAAAACTGGGATTAGACAACAGAGTTTTCTGACTCCCACTCCAGTGGTCTTCCTGCACTGGCAGGCTAGTCTACCCTAGGGCACATTCCTGAGTTTACAGGCTAAACTTAATCTTTCAGAAACATTCAAGGAATCAAATTTACTACTAAGAGGTGGGAAGCATAATCTGTGGAGAACTGGGTAGGTAACCTGGTGAAGGCCTGGTTTGATGTTTGAACTTTAATGACTTTAAGGTCCTCAGAGCTCCTGGGCTTGACAGTTTCCACCAGCAGCAGCTGAAGACCTGTTCAGCCCTGTTGTAGTTGATGTAAACCACCAATAAAACT